TAGTGACTTGATCTCGAATCCACGAACGCCGCTTGTGGCGATGGAGGAACTGACATGTGTAGTGGTGCTTATAGTTCTTCACGAGTGTGGCGAAAAATGCAGAGATCAGCTTTCTAAGTGTGTGGAGTGTTTGAGCGTCCATGGGAATGTGTGGATGTCTGAGTATGAGTATGTTTGAAGACATCATATTAATAGGCTTCTTCATGATTCCTTGCATTTTTTTTAAAGGAATGAGATATCTTTTATTTAGAAAACTCAAAGAGAGTGCATATCATGGTCAAGGTCACTCCGAATAACATCAGGCGGCCCCTCAAACCATACTACAAAGTCATTATGGATTAAGCTCAACTTGGCTAGGCGATGCATCACTATGAATTAATTTATTTTCGAGCTATGATTTTGTGGAATTTATCTCCATGATTTGTCTTGATTGAATCTTAATATGGATTTAATTTGGTATTAATTTAAACCAAATCAGTGAACTTGGTATTAATTTGGACCGAGTTCATTTGTGCCAATTTCATTTGGCTGACTAAGACCCTATTTATGTGGTGGGTTCAATTACCAACCATTTCGTTTTAATCAAATCCAGTTCCAATTCCATTTACTTGCTGAGTAGTCTCCTTTTAACTTGAGCCAATTACAAATCAATTTATTTGCTGACCAATCACCTTTGATTTGGTTGCTGACTGGGCGACTAAATGAATTGGCTGATCAAATCTAATTCTATTGGCTAATCAAATCAATTCCATTTGCTAATTTGCTGACTTACCAAATCCAATACCAAGTTAAGGGCTTGCCGTTTAATCACCCTTAATTTGATAATTTGGTTGATGAAAGAATCAATCTTTAATGTGAACCAAATGCCACTTCACTTGGCCGACCACTTTGATTATTGCTCAAAAAGGGGTCAAATGCATTATTTAATTGGCATGATTTATGTTTGACTTAAATCTAATAATTTATCTGATTTAAATCAAAGTTAATGTAAAGATAATTCCTTAATTGTTTTGACCATCCCCTTAATCTAGTAATTCTTCTGCGTTATGCCAGATGTCAACATGTGTTACTCATGACTCATCCAACTTTAATGAGTCACATGCCATGTGTGAGGTATGTGAGACCCATAATGTATGCCACAAAAGCCCTGACAAGTCAAAACTTCTGTTTGTTGGTGAGCATTTATTTCACCAAAATAAATATCTAGTTAGTACAATGAGAGCAAAGGAAACCAAAAAAAAAAAAAAAGGCCTCCTAAAATTTAACATATGCAAGAAAAAAGAATTACATAAGTGTTAAAGTCTCGATACAGCTTGAAGAAATCCATTAGGGGAGCATGGACAACTTGGTTGGCATTCTCAGCCATAAGAAAATCCATATGACTACATGAGCATACTCGCCGTATATTGTGCCACAAGCTTGTCCTTTATCATGATCTCTGAGGTTGTCCAACAAATACTTCACATCAAACACGTTCGAAAGGGGTTCTCTCCCGCCATAGCTGAGGAAAAGAGGAACGTCTTTCGGAATGTTTTCCATGTTGTACACAGGAGTAGGCTGATTGTAGCGCTGAATGCTTATTGCTGGACATAATCGTACATTGCTATGTTTCCTTATGTGACCATTTTCCACCATCAACAAGAAACAAAAATTTGAAAGTTTGTTAGTATTAAATTTAATCAGAGGGGATATACAGGATAAAGTTTCAAAACGAATACTAGTTTTTTCTTTTCCTAGTGTAATTTAGGAGAACGACTTCCACGCAACAGGGATGCATCATGGCAGTGTGTAATTGACTTGAGAAACAATGATGGTGATATCCCCATTGTAGGTAAGTTTCTCTCGTGCTTTAGACACTTAATTAGCATTTACAGCTCGCTATTACTGAACCCTGAATTGAAAGAGACTTACTCTAAACCCAGTGTAGGTAAGTTTCTTTGGGGCGTATGTTGAAGAAACAAATTTATGCTTGAAGGACCGAGGCAGCAATTTGGGCCTATAAAAAACTTTCAAGTTAAAAGGGTAAATGACGAATCTTAACACTGTGAGGAGGACTTCCACGCAACGGGCATCTCCGATGTAGGTAGGTTTCTCTATAACATTGTCACTACCTGTTGAAGCTGTGAGGTAGTTGGAGCAGCCACTGCCTGGTCTTGCGCGCATATACTGCAGAATTTGCTGCACCTGCCTGTTGGGATTTTGATAAGATCAGAGAAATCTTGTTATCAAATCACAAATGAGTGATCGAGAATCAAATGGATTAAAATTTCAACCTACAAATTTCGTTTTAATTTGAATAAACCATTACTTGAAGTACAAGAAACACCACATATTCATTTAAACAATGAAAAAAATTACAAGACATACTTAAAAACTTGTCATACTTTTTTGTACTAGATTGAATTTAACTCCGCATTTTCCTTTACAAACTATTTGAGTTGCAATCTCACCTGTAAGGAAATTCAGCAGAAGCAAAGAAACCCGGTCTGTGATAAAGATACTAGATAAAATTTTAGTCAGTTTGCTATGTTCATCACATTGAATTTAGGAATCCATATATGAAAAACCAAAAGGTTCATTTAGTTGTGTAAACGAAAAAGCAGAGTTAAATTCAATCTGGTACAAAACGAATCAACAGCAGTTCGTACGTGTTAAATGTCCCACATCGGTGGGTTTAAAGAAACCTAATCGGTTTAAATAGGATTATCCTACTTTAACTAATATTGAGGTCTTTTATAATAAAACCATGCACCTGACGGATTGAGTTGGGGACTCTGTCGTTAGAGTGGGGCAGGTCCGACAATCTAAAAATCTAACACTACTTGCCCAATCCGTCAGGTGTGGGGTTTTACCAGAAAATGCCTCGGTATTAGTTAGAGTGGGGTAATCATATAAACCCTTTTAATATAGAGGCAACCGCTGAGTTCCATTGAAAACAAGTGGGCCCAACAGGATCGGTGGGACTTTAACACTCCCCCTCACATGTAACCCCATTTAGTGGTTCACACATAAAGATCCACATCCATATCGGTAATATAGAGCCAACCGCTGAGTTCCATTGAAAACAAGTGAGCCCAACAGGAGCCGACCTCTGAGTTTCAATTACCAATGTGGATCTCCATGTGTGAACCACTAAATGAGATGGCGGAGTGTTAAATGTCCCACATCGGTGGGTTCAAAGAAACTCAATGGGTTTAAATAGGATTATCCTACTCTAACTAATACCGAGGCCTTTTGTGGTATCCTACTCTAACTAATACCGAGGCCTTTTGTGGTAAAATCTCACACTTAATAGATTGAGTAGGTGGTAAAGTTGGAAACAGTATCGATGTCCTTAAAATAAGGCGGGCCCGGCAATCCAAAAATCCAACAGTACGAAGGGCAAGCGCATCTGACCAAGATAAGCAATTGGGGCAAGCAATGCAGCTGATCTTAGTATGTTTACCAGCTTTCCTTGGGAGAAGGCAGCTAGGGGAAGTCAATGTTCCCTATAATTCAATACTTCCAAGTCTCAGTCATCGATTTTCTATGTGTCGAAAAAAATTCTAAAACTGTAACTATGAACAAAGTTCAAATAATTTACCGAGGAGTGCCCAACATAATGTAATTTCTGTCCTGTTTGATTGTTATATATCTGAACAAAGCGGGAAGATCATAAGCAGCCAATTGATCCCATGACCAGTCCCAGAAAGCCTACATATCATTAGAAGTAATACATGTCATTAGAATAATTAAGCTTATGATCTGCAGATGGCATGATGTGATCAACATTTTAAAAGGCATGCCAATCGAACCGGATAATTTGGATTGACTGTTGTGTGTCCACGGCTGGAAACTTTGCCGCGACTGTTGGCAAGCCATACATCGAAACCATTGTCTGCCAAGATAAACGCCAAAGCTTTTTCCGGCGAATTGAGTAATGCCGACGGCAAAGCCGCAGTCAATCGGCAATGCCACAAGAAGCAGAATGGGCGAAATATATTGTTTATAATTATGTTGTTTTTAAATGGGTGAAATATTGTCACTTAATATTACGATTTAGTGGTATTCCTCTTCACTTATAAGAGAGAGGTCTTATGTTCGATTCTCACCAAAAGCGAATTTGAATCACATTAATGCTAGCACATTGTGAGAGACTAAGCCCACTCAATTCCCCGACAGTGTAAATAATATCGTTTGTTCAAAGAAAAGATGAAATATTTTAATTTCTAATTAGCTATTGTTTTCTACAACAACAAAAAGCCTTATCCCACTCAGTGATGTATGAATCCTAGCACGTCAATGCGCTTGGTTTTGTGTCAAGTCTTAGCTATTGTTTTCTGATGTGAAAATCACAATGTAATTCCTACGACTAATACATAAAAAGATTGCTAGTGTATACAAGCAAAGTCTTAGCTAATGTTTCGGATTCGACACTCCCCAATCCCTAAATTAGTGTAATAGTTTCGAACTTTCCCCCACTCATTAATAATAATTATTATAAAAATAAATAATAAAAAAAAAAGAGAAAACCAAATAATAAAGTGAAAGGGCGGATTTCATGCTGAAATCATGGCGAAGTCCACGTCTTCACCTATGATATTGCAGCTGGATTGCAGCCATTGTTCTTCACAGATGATGTCGTGGCTAGATTACTGCCAATAGTAAAGGGGTGGATTGATGCAAAGTAGGACTTTTTCAAGTCCCCGTTTACTTGCAATGAACGAATATTTAAATTATTCTCGGTTTTTAACTTCTTTTGCTTTTACGGAGTCAAAAACTGTGAGTCCTATGTAACAAGCCATAGTCTAGAATGGTTGAAACCCCATGAATTAGATTGGTTAGGAGTAGTTAATCTTTTATATTCATTACCTTTCTCCTATATTCCTGACTTTTCCGATTCACCATTTTCATATTAACATGCAACCGTATAAAGAAACTAGAGATCGATATATTATATATAGATAATAAGGTACTGGATTTTGATCTAGACACACCATGGTAAAACCGTAAAAGTACACATGAAACATATAAAAATGGTAGTAATTGTATGAATTTTGTTGGTAAGAGAAAAATCCAGTATACAGTATGGGTAAATACAACTCTGCCCTTAGGGTTGGGCAAAACCAAGGAGAAATATGATCTGAAGGTAGAGAAAAGAAAACAAGAGAATTGGCATTACTTGTTTCACAAGTAAATATTCTCATTGAAGTCTAAAGAAAGCCATGAGAGGATCATACACATCTTGCTTAGCAGTTTCACCCATTACAAAATCTGCATGAGCGTAATCGTCTCTATACTGAAGCACAAGCTTATCTCCGTCATGATTTTCGAGGCTATTCATCAGCTGCTTCACATCTTTGACGTCGGACAGGGCATCTGCTCCTCCGTAACTGAGGAAGAGAGGAAGGTCATCTGGAATGTTTGTCATGTTGTACAATGGAGGAGTAGGCTGCCCATAGTGCTGCATATTCCCGTCCTTGTAGTCAAACATTGCAATTGTTCCGTCTCTTATCACTGTTCAGAAAATCGCAGGATGTTATATTGAGTGCATCTATTTCGAGCAAATTTGGATCACTAATCACTAAGCAGATGTTACAGTTTAATTTTAGCATCGCGGAGGAGATTGTAACGTTCAAAGTACTGGTGGTTTGTGAATGAAGAATTTAGAACACTTACTCTGGGATATATGGACCAAGTTTTTAGTTGAAGTTGACTGAGGCTCATGATCTAGAAAAACATCTACTATGGAAGAATTTAAGCAGCAATTTTTCCCTTCATTTTACAAAAATTTCCCAAGTCAGTACATATAGAAATGATTGAAGTGGTAGTAGAATCTTAGGAGCATGTGTACTACCGGTGAACGCTGTCAATAAATGGGTGCAGTCAACGCCCGGTTCCTGGCAGACAGCCTTCAGAAATTTGACTGCAGCCTTCCTGTTCATTGTGGAAACACAAACAATGGTATAGGTTCATTGAATTAACAGGTACATGACACGAGAGAATGCAAGTTCTGATCTTATAATTGGGATTTTTCAGTGAATACTGGATTGCGAATCATAAGAACAAGAATCGTTACCCTTTTGGATCAAATTGTCTAAAATCTGCATCGTATAGTGCCTGTTAAAAGAAAAAAATAGGTTGTCAAAGAGTTATTCTGTTAAGAAACTAAAACAGCTAGAAAAAGGAAGTGTTCTTTACCTCAGCAACATAATTTTCAGCAGCTGTTCTTGCAAGGGGTGAGGGCATCTGACCAAGATGAGCAATCGGGCTAAGTAGGGCGGCTGATCTCAAGTTCTTCAGTTGCATGTCTTTCGAAAATGCAGCAAAAGCAACCAATGTTCCCTGCAAAATAAACCCATCGTTTAATTGCTATGTTTATATTTTTAACACTCTGCCAAAAGTTTTTTATATCTTTTAAAATGTTTGCAGAACAGAAGAAAGCTGCAGAGTTTGCGAAATTCACCAGCGAATGTCCAACATAGTGAATTTTCTGTCCAGTTTGATCGCGCACATACTGGAAAGTAGCCGGGAGATCATAAGCAACGAGTTCATCCCATGACCATTCCCAATAAGCCTGAAAAGGAGCAAAATGGTTCGTGAACATGTTTTATTGAGTATTTTCATGTTGTTGGATGTAATCAAACATGAAATTCAGGAGAACAGAGTAGTTACCCGATCATCAGGACTGAGTGATGTGTGTCCAAGGCTGTACTTGGTTCCACGGGTGTTCCCAATCCACACCTCATACCCATTGTCAGCTAAGAGGAATGCCAAAGATTGGCCTGGAGGTAACAGCAGCCATGTTATCCCATCCTGCGCAACAAACCACATAAACAAACTGTTACATTTTCCAAATTTACTGATCCTACTGAAAACTACCGCACAGAATTACTGACCATCAGAAGACCGTGTTGCAGAAGTACCGGTACCCCATTCCCCGACGCCTTCCCTGACTTCCCTGCTGGAATTCTCTGCATACTGAGAATGTATCCATCTTGTGTTGTCACCTACACGACCAAAAAATGCAACCAAGTTACATCAGTCAGTGTTTGCCGTGACTTGAAATTCTTGACAAACTGAGGAGCGAAAAACGGGGGCATGTCACCGTGTGTTCTTCACAAGCGTAGCCTTGTGTTGCCACCATTGTTGCACAGATTCCGTCATCACCGGGAGATGGAGCCAATGCAGAAGCAGCATCCTGCACATTGTTAGCTGAGAACAACTTTGTTCTGGTTCCAACTACTGACTCACAGACAAGAATAACTACAACAATACAGCTTAAAATCTTATCAGCCAACATCTTCCTAGGTTTAATAATCGTTTCCTGGTACAAATCACCTTTTGAGGTTCTGACATTTTTATAGTACAGAAAAAACCAGATAAAAACAAAACTGGGGTGTTCACATGAGCTAATACAAATTGCTTAATGGATTAAACTAAGGTTCAACAAAGGCATCTAATGCTGATGGGCACTAGTTTTCACTAATTAAATATAATTAAGAACGTTAGTAACCTTAGATTTCGTCGCTGCCACGATTCCATAATTTAACAATAATTTCATTGATAAATCCAAATTTAATCCAAGTATGTAAAACCAAAACACCGTCAGCCCAGGACTTATATTTTGTCACTGTTTCTTTTGTCCAATTAGTAAAAGATGAAGACGTACCGCCAACGGAGGCACAGAAAGTACTACATTCATGGATATAAACTACCAAACCCAACAAGAGCTCAAACACTTTCTTCCGGTTTCGCCAACGAGGTAAAACCTCACGCTTTATTTCCGGGAGAAGAACTTAGGTGCACTAGTTGTATACACCGGTTCTTTTTGTCTCTCCAATGAGGTGACACAAAATAACAAGTGTATACAACCGGGATAGACAAGTTTTTTTCCAATTCGAGGCATCCATTCTCTGCATAAACCACGGATACATATATTATACTCGTTAACATACAATGGTTTTCTTAAGCAAAGTGTTTCTTTCCTCATCTCTCACAATTCTAAGATAGTTTTCCATGTGCAATAACTAGGACAAAAATCACACCCTTGACTCTGTAATATCGATTGCTTGTTGAACCCTATAAATGTCAATTGATTGACAATAGGATTCCAAATTCGAGAGTCCAAGAGTTATATAAAACGTTTCATTGACATATGAGTCACAATACGAAGGACAATGATGAATCCAATTCCTTCTTACGATTATGATAATTTCATTTTTCCCGTCCAAATAAATACCAGTACAAAAAACCTTGGTATAAAATTATATCAACAATCTGTTTTCCTTCGGGATTTCTCAGCAAACAAAAACCTGTCACGAAGCTTGCTTGCTAAAAAGAGAGATGGGATTCTCCAAACCGTGTGGGGTACGAGTGCCCTTTATCTTTTTTCCGATGTTTTGACATGATTATCTTGTGTTCTTGGTCTGGTTAGCGGTCTTCTGAGAAATTGGAATTGCCACGCTTTAGGTTCTATCCGCCTAAGCAGTGGCCACCTTTTCGGTTTAATTTGCCCTAGCAATTTCATCTGCTCCCTTCTGAACTTCCTATTTGCATACCACCTTCCACCTCGCCAACCCAAAGCGTAGCTGCAGTTTGGTTAAAATGGTGCAAGTGTATAATGCATGAACAGTTTGATATTTGTAGTTTCATAACAAGAAAAGCAGGAATTATGTTTCGGACATGGTTATTAAAAATTTAAGGTACAAACCCGATAACTAAAGTGGTTCCCGCAGTGGCTATGCATGAAGGAAGACCTATAGTTCCAGAATCCATGATGCTTCTAATTTCCGACTGCTCTAGATTATGATTGTTTTTCATCTGCCACCGAAACAGAAACAGATCTCCAAATGTAACAAACATAAACAGATAATTAAAAAGGGGGAGCCTTAATATAACCAGCAATAGCATTAACCAAAATTTAATTAGAAAAATTAAGAGTGAGCTTGCGAACACATGATGCCTTATCCCACTGTCAAAATTAGTAACATAAACGGGATGAAAACAAGAATACAAGACATGGAAATAGAAAATATTGTCGTTTTCTTTTTCTTTCAATGAGACTTTGTACTTACAGCTTTTTCAATTGATTCGAGCCTTTGATCAACTCTTGATTCATGTACATGGCGTAAAGTATATCCTGCGCCCACAACAGATGAGCATTAGTTTATTAGATAAGAAAATGTTTTCAAACATATTATTGAGAGGGGGCAACAGTAATAAAGTTGAAACAAAACTTTTGCACCTTAATGCATTGGTGAACCAAATTTTTTAGATTATAACGAATCTTTAGTTATAAGTAAACAATTTAGTCAAAGAACATAAACCACAAATGATTATATCAGAACTTCATAAGTTTAGCACCTCACAAAATCTAGAACTAGAACATCTATGACTTGAGAACGATTGTGTATTTGAAATTTACATCCTACACTATGTTCAAAATAAATTGTCCGTGTTTACCCCAGCTTCTAATTCGGGTACAAATTCATATCCACGTTTGCTAAACATATGAAATATGTTTGACTGACCTAAAACTCAGGTTGAAGATCCAACTGAAGTCACACCCCTTAAGCTTACAAAACTAATTTGCCCTTTCCTATGAAGGTTAGTTGAAGGGAACTTTATATGTGCCCTACAATTTGCACATTGTACCTAACAACTTATGGGAATACGATGGGAATGCCGTGAGTTTGTAGGGTAAAGTACAGTGAGAAAATTGCAGGTTACATGTATGTGCTAATCATGGATTTCAAACAAACTACACGGCACCCACCGTCTGTGAATATTTCAACCCGCAATTAAAGTGGAGCGCCAAATGCCACTCCAATTGCCATAGAGTTAGCTAAACTTGTATCATCACACTAAATTTGTTGCAAAATACTAATCATTCACCCTTTATGAATTTGAAGACTAATTGATGATCATAAACAAACACAGATGCAGAAAAGCAAGGCAAATTTGAGAAATTAAGGAGCTTCCAAACAAGAACTCACCAAACCATGCTGTGGCGACTGATGCAATAGAAGTTCCAACTGTAAATACAACCTTATGGCTTTCAAATATATCCTAAAACATTCACCAAGAAAACAAGAAAACAAAAAAACCCATCAGAATTAAACACAACCCATGAAAAATCAATCGACACCCACAACTTCAAACTCCCAGAAACCCCCAAAAATGTGTGAGAAAAATCGGAAAGCAAGCACCTTTGTGGAAAAAAAAGTGTCCTGAACGGCAGCCCATGATCTGAAAGCTTTCTTCCTCAACTGGGTTATGGCTTGCGACCACGAAAGTACGGTCCCTGAGCTTCTAAGGCGCTGCATGGCGCTTGCCAGGGATGCGCACCGCGAAGTTTCTGGGGAAAATGGAGGCAAAAGCTTGAAAAGCTTCTTCTTCTTCTTTTGTTGTATTTTTTGCGGCATTTTATTGGTCAGATCAAATGGGATTCCGTAGAGTCTATACCTGGAAAAAAAGCAAAACCAGTGGGACAACTTGGGCTCCAAAGTTTAGAGAAATTTTACCAGATTCAGTCTGGGCTGGGCTATTGACCCTTGTCAAGCCCACTTTGCCTGTTCAAACAAACTAAGGGCAACTTGTATCCAATTCATATCTCGTCTGAAACAGACTTGTATGTCAAATAGTTAAAGAGTGTTCACTTTTGCATTTGATGTCTTAAGTTCGATTATCCCTCACAATTACCTGCTTGTATGTAAGAAAAAGAGTAGTATGATTGGGTTTTGCTATCGTATGTTTAGGTCAAGGGATTAGTTTAACCCTTATTTGGTCGAAAACATGACTAGGAGCCCAAACAAAACTAAGCAACGATAAGTTCACACCTAGACATTCCTAGTTGGTCCACACGAAAAAGACTGTCTGAACAAGAAGGAGAACCATTAACGTAAGAATCGCCTACATCTAAAGCATGTAGATGATGCTTTACCGCAATGGTGAAATGCAATCATACTTATACACTCTGGTACGGGTTCAATCCTCATCGATCTCCCTCCCCACAACTAACAATTTAAACCACTAATACTGTTGTTTGTCAAAAAAGAAAAGCAAGACAATAATTTGCCTGACTATTAACAACAAATACTTTTCTCCATACATGATGTATCTCGGTCCCCAACATTTTGGAAAAAAAAAAAAAAACTCTCAACAAGCCAAAACAAGAGAGTCCAAATGATTTTTTAATAGTAGCTTGTACCATAGGAATTAACTTTTATCCAAACCTTATAAGCCTAAAAATCCCTCATAGAAACTTCAACTTAATTTGGTACAAATAGTATCCTATCGTCAAACATTCAACTTAATTTGGTACTTAAAAATAACTAAAGATTGAATAAAATTTAATTTCTGTTAGAAATAGAGGGTAAGACTAGTGGCGAAACCAGAAATTTTTGGGATGAGGGGCCAAATTTAAAAGTGTAATAGGTTTCACAAAAATGTAGACAATCAAATCATTTTAAATAGTAGACAATATTTAATGTTGTTCACAATTTGTCAATACAAACAAGTTATAATTATTGTCGGCAAGATTTCATGTCATGAAACGTCGCATAATAGACTCATTTTCAATAAAAACAAAAACATCCCTCTCAATACAAACAATCAAGCTATCACACAATTGTTGTACATCTCTCGCAATGTAAACATCTCTCTCAGTAATATCAAAAACACTCACATAATAGGAACACTAATGATATTTTCCTCACAAAACTTTTGTATATTTGAAACAAGCCCTCAAAGTCATCATTTCTCAAGAATTAAAAGAAAATAAGATGAAATAATTTTAAATACCGGAAATAATAACAAGTATTGAAAATGAACAATTACAAACGTCAACCTTTGTTTTTGAATTGTCTAAACAAATGAGAGAGAGGGAAGAGAATTAAAATGGTGGTCTAGTAGTGCGGTTCAGAAAGAAAACCTCATCAATAAAATTAAAAAATTAAAAAGAAACTAAAGGGGCCCACCGAACTGCTCCGTTTCATTAAAAGGAACACTGAGTTTTATAAAAGGTAAACGATGCCGTCTAAACAAAACCAAGTCATCTTCTTCCCTTGAAACCAAAACCCAGCAGCGAAATGCACCCAGATCAACAAGTTTAGAAGATCGGAGGGGCGAAATTCTCACTCTTAGTGGCGATTTCCAATGACCGGATGGGCGCCCGCCCCTCCTTGCTCCTCTGAGGAAGAGGCAACAGAGAGAGAGAAGAAAGATTGGGAGGGCAAATTTGTGTGTCATTTTCTTCTTATTAGAGTGCCTATTTATAGGCTTAAGATTTATATAGAAAAAATTATAACTAATTACATATTACATACTGACCAAGAGTGAAGAGGCACATAATAAATATTATTTACAACATTTCCCTTGAATATTCACCGATCAATGATAATCCATTTGGTTATGGGCGCAACGTGATGTAGGCTTCCAATTGATTGAATATGAACTTCATATTCATAAGTGGGTGCTATAAACCTCCCACTAGAACTGAGAATCACTAAACTGAATGGAATTGCATATATGGTCGTTAAATTCAATCAAACAAGATGATGAGCTTGGTTTGAAATTCATCTCCCGGAATCATACGCAGCACCAACCTCATCATTGGAATAAAAATAGTACCATTTTCAAACCAAATGGAATTGTAGTCCAATTCAATCCAACATCCTAATCCATTCCACAAATTAAATATTTACCTTTTTGTATTTCTTCTTTGTATAAAAAAAAATTAAAAATATAAAAGAAGGAAGAAAATGATGTCCTAATTCGTTGCATTCCTATACTTTTGTAACAAGTAGGTTAAAATAGGAATTTTTTCTTTTGTGCCAATGAATAAATAAGGGAACTGTTATTAATACTTTAAAAATCTCATTATATATTTTCTACCGATGTAAATTTTTTTTCTAATTATTAAAAATTTAAAATACGAAATGAAAATTTTAAAATACTAATAATACTTTTCATAAATAAACTCTATAGTCATACACAGAACGAAACCAACGAATGAGGAAGGAGTCACAGTCTCACATAATTAATAGAAAATTAAAAAATTAAAATATCTAATGACACTTTCAGTCTGTTTTATTACGGAAACCGAAATAAATTATTTATATAACGGTATGAATAAGTCATAAAAAGACGAGTTTTGATTTGAATAAAAATGGCTCAGTGCGCGGTGCTCGCCACTCCTTTTGACTTGCGCCGTACAAAGCTTTCATATATGGAAGTTTCATGTGCATGGCTTGCCATCAGGAAAATTTGTATGGGGCTTGGTTTGCCACTAGACTTCACTGAATGGTACTACAATCCACTTAAAACTTGCCACGTAGTAAGTCTTAAATATATTCTTTTATCATTCTTTTATATTTAAAATTTTTATAATTATTTTTTTAACTAATTAATATATATTATATATATATATATATATATATTAATGTTATGTTTCCTTTTTTATTTCTTTCCCCCTATTTTTTTTCTTCACAAATCCCCCTCCCCATGTGACAAGTCTTAAATATATTCTTTTATCATTCTTTTATATTTAAAATTTTTATAATTATTTTTTTAACTAATGAATATATTATATATATTAATGTTATGTTTCCTTTTTTATTTCTTTCCCCTTATTTTTTTTCTTCCCAAATCCCCCCCCCAACACTTTGTTTTGCCGTAGGTCATAGGACTCCCTCCGCTTTCTTTCTTTCCCAATTTCATTTCTTTCTTTCTTTAAATAAAATAAAATAAAATAAAGTTATGCACCCACTCCAAGTTTATCATGGAAAGCAACCAAGTATCTGTAAGCTTCAGCATCTGAATGCACCACCATTCTGATTTTCAGATCTTCTTCAAACTCCATTGCCTCAGCAGCAACCTATCAATTGAAAAAAAAAATCAAAGATTAGACTAATATATTAATTAAAGACTCATAATAAAGAAGGTAGCAAACATAGAAGATACCCTAATTCATATTATAAATATAAAAAATCCAAAAAACCTCACCCGAACCCAAAAACCCCCAATTAAAAGAAAAGAAAATAACCCTACTACATCTATATATGTGGGTTATTCATGTCACATGATCAAAGCAACTATTGTATAAAGAAAGAAAAAAAACTTACAAATTCTTAGTTGCTTTCCATGATAAAATTGGAGTGGGTGTAGAACTTTTTTTTTTTTTTAAAAAAAAAAGAAAGAAAGAAACGAAACTGGGAAAGAAAGAAAGGGGTGAGAGTACTGAAACCTAAGATCTACGGCAAAACAAAGTTGCCCGGGGGGGGGGGGTGTGGGGTGGATTTGGGAAGAAAAAATATAGGGGAAAGAAATAAAAAAAGGAAACATAACATTAATATATATAATATATTAATTAGTTAAAAAAATAATTATAAAAATTTTAAATATAAAAAATGATATTTTATATAAAAGAATGATAAAAGAATATATTTAAGACTTGCCATGTGGCGAGTTTTGAGTGGATTGTAGTGCCACTTAACGAAATCCAGTGGCAAGCCAAGCCCCACACAAGTTTTTCTCCTTGCCATCACAGTTTACATTTTCTTTTTATCAAATCATATATTTTGGTAAATTAGATTTTAAATTAGTTATGAAGGAGTTTAAAATTTACGTCGTGCAGACATTCAATTTCTTTTCATAACTGTGGTAAAAGGTTATTTGCCATTGCAATTTACGTTGATCCCTTCAATTGGTCGAGCTCGAGTTTTTCTTTGGGAGTAGATTTTTATCTCTCCAAATCTTCTCCCCTCTAGCTCGCTTCTCTTTTACTTTCTTCTGTTTTTTTTTTATGCAGAAGTCAATATCAAATATTAACTTGAGTTAATTGTGAACATTTCAATAGAAAGGGATTGAAAAAGAGAAAAATTTGGAGATGAAAAAATCCTACTCCCTTTTTTTGCAACAAAAAAGAATTTTTTAATTTTTATTTTTAAGTTGGGTAATGTTAGAGAGACCATCTATTTAAATTCTTTTTTGTAAACCATATGACTTGGTTGTTGATGATTATATTATTATTTGCTTGTTAATTAACGTGTTTATTTCCTATTTTTTGTAAACCATATGACCTGAGCGATGTGGAATGTTACAATCCACCCCCCTCTACTTTCTGTAAACCATATGACCTGGGTGATGTGGAATATTACAATCCACCCCCTTAGGGACCCAACGTCCTCGTCGGCACACTTACGGCCAAAGATTGGCTCTGATACCAAATTGTCACATCCCGCCCCGAGCCCCCACCACATTCCAGACTTGACTTCACCGTAGCACGATATTGTCCACTTTGGGCCCCGACCACGCTTTCACGATTTTTTTCTGGGAACTCACACGAGAACTTCCCAATAAGTCACCCATCCTGAGATTGCTCTCGCGCGAACTCACTTAACTTC